ATCAGCATCCCTGATTTTCCCTCCTTGTTTGGCTTCACACCTTGGAGACCATCCTGCTGATACTCGGACATCATTTGCTAATCTGTCTCTCCTGTCCTGGATCTTGAACCTTGCAGGACTAGACATGGCTCCTGGAATTGACTGAGACTCTTGCACATGGATGTGTGGTAGAGACTCTTTGAACAGGGCTCACCTTACTCCACTCAGACCCTGCTAAATATTGCATGCCACTCTGAATGCCCCCTTGTACATGGAATTGCATTAGGCGTGTAAGTGTTATAAAGAATTTGACATATTGCACATCTTCTTGAAAATTCAACCTGATCGAGCATGAGAAAAAAATAACTTTTATCTGAGGAATGCTAGTCCTTTTACTTATCAGGCCCATAAAACATTAAAATGACACTCCAGTCATGCTCTCTGCCCCGCTTTGAGTTGCATACTCATCTCTTGGAGCTGCTTGTTATTAACCTAGTAATGCTGCACTATATTAGTATAGCCAATCACTAATCAAATCTGTAATCTTCAAACTACTGAGAATTAATGGCAGAACTTTATATCAGTTCACTCTTTGTCTGCATATTTGCCTTTAGAAACCCAGTTGCAATGGCTGCTAATCAGAGTGTCTATTCAGGGCAACTTGAATCTGTTTTCCTGAATTGTATCAAGCAAGCTTGGCCCAAATGAACTCTCTACTTACATTAATTTTGTACCAGCTTTTTCCTTTTAAGTCGACAAACAAGATGGGGTTACACATTTAGAGCCACAGATACACAGTGGCTGCCATTTCCAGATGGGTGCCTCTTTGCTAAATAGTACCAAGGAGAGAATACTCACAATGCTCAACTCTTGATCATAACTTCAGCCCTGTGGGAATTTGAGAATACTGACATACATCTCTAGGTCTTAGTTTTTCCTTTTTAGAAAGTGGGGATATTGGTGGCTCTGTACTCCCAGGGCTTCTAGAGCTTTTACAGCAGCATATCGTACTCAGGGATAGATGTGAGTCAGTCTCACTCTCTCGCCCAATGTCTACCTATGAGGCAGAACTACAGAGGGTGTGTCAACAGCTGTTCACTGAATGAAGCCTTATTGAAAGTGACTTTTCTCTGTGATAGCTCAGACCAGGGATCCTCAAGCCCTGGGCCACAAACCAGTACCAGTACTGGTTCATGACTTCTTAGGAACTGGGATGAACAGCAGGAGGTGAGGGGCGGATGAGCAAGCAAAGCTTCATCTGTACTTCCAGCCACTCCTCATCGCTCACATTACCACCTAAGCCCCACCTCTTGCCAGATCAACTTCAGCATTAGATTCTTACAGGCGTACAAACCCTATTGTCAACTGGGAATGTGAAGGATCTAAGTTGCACACTGATTATGAGAATCTAATGCCTGATGATCTGTTACTGTCTTTGATCACTCCCAGATGACACCATCTAGATGCAGGAAAACAAACTCAGGGCTCTCACTGATTCTGCATTACAGTGAGTTGTATAATTATTATATATTATGATGTAATAATAATAGAAATCAAGTGCCCAATAAATGTGTGCTTGAATTATCCTGAAACCATCCCCCACAAATCCCCAATCCCTGATGTCAAAAGGGTGGGACCACTGGCTTAGACTATTGTGTCTTGACTACTTCAAGTCAAAGAGGCTGGAAATATGGTTATTATGAAGGACAGAGGCTTGGGGTGTAGAGAACATGAGGCTGGTGGTCTGGCCTGTGGAAGAGGGGAAGCAGCTGCAAACTGTGTCCTAGAGGTTTAGAAGAACCGTGAACAGGGCACAGCGTGTGCCAGGAATGCCTTATTCTAATTCCTGCTGCTTCCTTCTCCCATGCACTGCCAGGCACTGGAGCTGCCCAGGACCAACACATCCCTGCTTCCAGAGCTGTGCACAAGGCCAGTTCTTCTAAATTATTTCTTTCCAGAAGCCAGGAGATTTAGCAATTTGCTCATCCCTGAGATGCAAATTGGTTAAAGCTTCCTAGTTCCTGAGAAGAAACCCTTTCAGCTCTTGCTCAGGATGAAGTGTCAAAGGTGGTTTGCAAATAGTGCAAACCGGGCAGCAGATGCCGGAGTCAGGCATCATCTCAAAAGGAATTTGTTTAAAGGACCTCCGCTGGAGGGAGCTCTCGAGATTTTGGAACATTTGTGCCTCAGGTAAGAATTATACTTTATTGTTTTATTTTATTTTATTTATTTATTTATGAATGGGACAGATTCTCACTCTGTCACCTAGGCTGAGTGTAGTGGCACCACTTCGGCTCACTGCCACCTCTACCTCCTAGGTTTAAGTGATTCTCCTGCCTCAGCCTCCCAAATAGCTGAGATTACAGGCACATATTACTAGGCCTGGCTGATTTTTGTATTTTTAGTAGAGATCGGGTTTCACCATGTTGACCAGGCTAGTCTTAAACTCCTGACCTCAGGTAATCTGCTTGCCTTGGTCTCCCACTAGGATTACACGCATGAGCCACCGCAACTGACCAGAATGCTACTTTAGATGTCTTATATCTGATTTTCCCTCGTGACCAGTACTAAGACCCTTTAAGTATGTAAGAAGCCTGCTTGTGGCCAGCAAAAAAGGAAAGCTGGCAGGGCAGGATTCCACTTCATTTTGAGAGAGAAAAAGAAGGGGTAGGACAACCATCAGGAGGCAGATGGAGGCCTGCATCTCTACGGCCAGTAAGGAGGGACTGGGAAGGGGTCTGGGAGTAAGAAGAACTCTCAGGCTGTCCTCTGTGGGCTTTCCAGACAGCAGCCCAGGTAAGGGACACCACTGCCAGCCTGTTCCCCTCCTGCCTTCCACCAAGTTGCAAGCTCCTTGAAAGCAAAGACTTTGTACTTAACCTGAAATCCAGTTCACATTGATTAACACATTAAAAATGAAACACCAGATTCAGAAACCACCTGCCCTTCTAACTCCTGCCCTTCTTCTAATAACATTAAAAGGAGTTTAAGAAATAGTGACTCAAGCACAGGCCTTTGCCACAGCTTTCCCTTCTGTTAGACACAGCATCTGGTAGATCAAGAAAAACTTACCATTTACCCTCAAAACTAAACACAATCCCTTATGCAATTAACAAAAGCACAATTGTATGTAACACAATTATACCAGACTACAATTACACAAAAGTAATGATGCAGTGTAGATGGCAATGACTCTCATGCATTAGAATATAATGAGTGCTTGCTGGATTAAAAATTAAGGCAGCATGAGAGACTCCTATTGATAAATGTTCCCCTTATTGATTCACGCTTTGCAAAAGGCTGCACTGGCAGATGAAGTAGGATCCTTCCCCGTCACCATTACTAAAGACTATCGGTGTGGCAACCATTCCCTATGATAACTTTTATTCTCAGGTCTCTAAACTAGCACATTTTAATGAAGCACATATTTTATTATCACTTTTTCAGCAGTCCAAATAGAAAAAAAAAGAATCGGAAGAGCCGGAAAATCTGTGTGATTTGCTGATGATTCCACTCATAGTGGTATTGATGGAGAAATGTGTGTGAAGTTTCACCAAGTTGCACAGCTCAATCCAGCATTAGGAGAGACTATGTACTGCGTGGCCAATTTCTGTGTTCCTCAGGAGAGGCACCTGCCACTACTCACTATTTGTCACCCGTCTAGTTGTGGACTGGCTTTCTTCCAATCCATTTTTCTCACTTTTTGAGCACTCTTTCTGCTAGGAAAGACTGGCCGCTTTCATCCATGGTTCTCACCAAGAGCATGAAACCAAATCTCACTGGTACACAGAGCTCAACATGACTGGTCCCGCCCCACATCTCTGACTATATTCACACCAGGCACAGCAACCTACCATCCCTACTGAACTATATTTTATTGAAAGTAAGACACCATTAATTATAATATATACAACGATTTTATATGCCATTATGGAAAATAGATATTGCCAATTCAACTATTAGAAATTTCCAATGCCAAAAAAGTATTTTGAACCGATGAAATACTTGCAATCCATGCCTTCTGTTTCTACGCCAACCTCTCTTCCCCTCCCGACCTCGGCCTAGCCTGCCAGTGTCTCCTCCTTTAAGATTTAACTCCGCAACACCTTCCGAAACATTCTTGGCCTCATTCTCTGGGATCAGACTAAGTTGCTGCTGCCATGTGTCTGACAAATCAGGGCGCATTTCTTGGTCATTTATCTCACTTTATTGTAACGGCTAATTTATTCCCTGATAAAACATAAGCAGAGACCCTGTAACATTAACACATAGAAAAGCACTGAACAGACATTATTCTCCCATTTTGTAAATGATATTTTGACTAGGGTGGGCAGAACTGGAAGAAAGAAGGAGGTAGGCTCTGGAGAGGAAAGAAGGGAACATGGTAAACCTCAATGCAAATTCAGAATCCATCCTCTTTGGTTTTCTGCAGTGTGTCTTTGCCTTTAGAAACTTCTAATGTAAGAAGAGCCATATCCCAGGAGAAAGGGAGAGAGGAAATGAGTTTTTCTGGTCTCCTCTGGGCCAGAAAAGCAGAGGTAGGGGCAATAAGAGCAAAACTCAACCACACCCAGGAGTGGTTGTGTGTTATTGGGCATTCGGGCACCTCTGTTGCAGATTTCCCAGATGGTCCGAAGCTCATCTGCCTGTGCTAGAAAGGACACCCACAGTAGTGAAAAATAACATGGTTTAGGAGAGAAGTAATTCCTTCCTCCTTTTTGCTTTACTTCAAAGTAATCAAATGTTGTTTATGCATAAAATTTTAATCCTTTCACAAATTTGTATTTTGATTTAATTTGCATATTCCATTTACTGCAAGTCAACATGAAGAGAGACTCAACTAATTTAAACCATTTTTCTCTGGGCCTGAAATCCTTTCAGAAATATTTTCCATTAGGCAACTCAATTATGTCTAATGTGGCTAATGTCGGTGGATTAGAATTTTGCTTAAAGAAACTCATATTAAGAACAGTGAGAATGGGAAGGGGGTGGGAGAACAGAGGAGAAGAGACAATAATTACCTGTCTTTGATGCTACACAGATCAATGTGTAAATCACTAAAATTCCCCAGGGAACCTTGCTGAACTGAAATGAGGTCCTTGGGCTGGTTATCAATAAAGATGAGCCTCATGCAGCCTTGGAAAGCCTTAATGGGATTTAAACATTGGGAATCGGTGAGATTGTCAGGGCACCCTGTGGGACAGAGAAAAAAGATGAAGAAGAATGCTGAAATGATCTGTCATTGCTTTGGTGACCTATTGATGGAAGACCTTGAGGTCTAATTATATTGGTGCTTTCTCATTCACAGCAGTGCATACTCTTTCATTGTAAATCCTAGCATTCTCAGGGAGGGGACAGAATTGGTACAAAATAGGGCATACTCAATCACCACAGAGAAAATAAAAAGTGTGGCAAAGGGGATACCGATACTGTAACATCTGTCTCCTTCTGACTTTTTTCTGCCCATTGGTAAGCTAGTTGCTATTCTTCTGCATGGCATCCTTCACTCATCCCGAGGAAGAAACATGTTATAGCTATTTCAGAATTTTGATTCTGTTTGAAACACATATCTAAATCCATGATTCAATTCTGAATTACACGTTCAAAGCAAATTATGCTTTGGGTAAGGATGACAGTGGAGTAATTGTCTGGTTAATTGTTAGCATTAACAGGCTTAGTTCCTGAGAAAGGTACACACAAGAGCGTAACTGGAATTTTGACGTGATGTGAAAAGCAAATCCAGACATTTCGCTGGTTTTGGAAGGAAATACGTGCTTAAATGCATGCAGTTTTAGGGCTGAAATAGCATATGGGAAAGGTTAACACTATACCTTTTTAAAGGTGTTCTTTAAAAATAAATTACACTGATTTAGTGTAGCTTGCAACCAGGGCATAGCTACTTCTGATTAAGATGGGTATTGAGCCTGCAGGTATATGAGTGCTTGTTCTCCTTACGAACTCCATCCCAATGGCTTTAATAGGTTCAGAGCATATGGGAATGCAAGCTTGAAACCATGGCAATAACCCATAAATAATTGGGAATTATTTCAGCCATCTCTAATAGGCAGTCACTGCTTGGCTGTCCCCCGGCAGCTGGTTAACAGCTCACAGGCACACTATAAAATGAAGAGAGATACTACAACTTCTAATTGAAGCTGTAGAGAGAATTTATGTAAGTTGACTATTATTACTGAAACTCATTTTTCACCTTCCTTAAGTTTACAGCCTACGTGTCGGGCGTTTGCTTAAACACTGCTCAAATCACCAATAAATCTTCACCTTCTAAACTCAGGGTCTCTTAAAATTTGTCTCTAAGAAGGCTTCTTCAACTGAGGAGGTGGGAGCTATTTTGTCTCTGAAGCATGTCAGATGTTTATTGTATCATGATTATTAAAAAACATTTTCCTCAAGAATAAATTCAAGGTTGTATTTTTCCATCTGTTGCTGAAATATTGCATAAGATGCAAAATTATGCAGTCTGTGAGGGTATCTTTGGGGACACCAACATCCTTGTTCTACAATCCTTATGATATATTTGTTCTAATCTCTGTTATTGCTGGTGGACTGTGGGAACACAAATCTGGATTTGAATCCTTGATTTGAATCCATGAGCTCTATGGCCTTGCACAAATTATTTCATCTCATCAAACACCAGTCTTATAATCTATTAAGTGGGGATATTACCTACTGCACAAAGTTTCTGCATGAATTAAATGAGATAAGCCATAAAACTTTTGCAGAGACTGGATGTGCATTCCCTTCCTAAAGAAAGTTGCTGTCCATGCACAGGTGAAGGAGATTTGAGGTAAAAGTCCCAGGCCCTTCCTCATTCTAAAACCAAGCCACAAAGACAATGCTTCCCTCCTAGGAGACCCTGATATGTACACTGAAGCTGTGCAAAGTCCCTTTTGCATTTTAAAGTTTTGACTACATTCAATTGGTATGAGAGATGTGTTCTGTAAATTCTACTTAAGAGACTATGCATAATTTTATACTTCTCTTTAATTTACTAATAGAAAAAAAGGAAAGTGTAGATCAGACCCTGACTTCTATCTATAGGAGATGGAGTCAGTTTGCCCACCCCGTGCCATGTGGCACACTCTGTGCTATATGTTTAAACCTTGGTCTTACTTAACTTTCTAGAAATTCTGAAGGTGAGCATATTTCCCCATGTTTCAGATTAGGAAGTTTAGGGACTATAAGTATCTTTCTCAAGGTCAGGCAGCCATTGAGGTAAAATCCTTTTCAGAGATTATTTCTATAATACAAACAACTGACTATGAAATTAGATATTAATTTTTAATGGAAGAAATACTTTTGAAAGACTATATATATATATATATATATATATATATACACACACACACACACATATACTTTTATAAAAAATCAGTAGATGCCTAATGATATGTTTTCTTCATCATCAGCTTGCCCTTGTGTTTTTGTCATTGAAAAGGTTCCCAGGATTCACTTAACATCAGAGTAGGCAGAATATGAACAATCTGAACTGGCTTCTACATGTGGAGCTACAGGTTCATGGGCGTCCTAGTTCTTCCTCATTCCTGGCTCTCTGTGAGCATGGCCTCTAGGGATGTGGGGAGGGAGAGGACAGGGGACTAAGATAGCAAAGTGGCAGAGAAGTAGTCTAGGTGCTGAGCATGCTGGTTGTGCCTTTCCACCTGAATTTTGCCTCTTTCAGGTACTGCTGACTCTTGGTACACTTTCTCCAAGTTTTCAGCTGAGTTTCTCCTTTCCAATGTGATCACAGGGCTTGGAATGGCTACAGAAAATCTCCATTGGATGTGTTATATAACACCAGCTCTTGTAGCTAAAGTTCTTTTCTTCCTCAGCACTGACCTAGATAATGTATATTTGCACACAGCTGTGAGAGATTTTGTTTCTCATTATTTTGAGATTGAGGGTGTGTGTGTGTGTGTGTGTGTGTGTGTGTGTGTGTGTGTGTGTGTTGGGAGAACCGTCTAATTGACCAAGCCAGAACCATCATAGTGAAATAATTGCCCACTTATTTTTCCTTCCCTTTTTATTTTCCCTCTTAAATGCTGCAGAAGTTACCTCCAAAGTAGTAGCTATTTCCAGAATAAATCTGCACCCAAGTGCTGTCTGGAGCCGGGGGTGCTGCTTCATTATCCAGAGTGAGTGTGATGCGGTTCCTTCTGGCGTTGATGCTAACAGAGTGCCACAAGCCATCATTCAAGTTACTGCCTGCAAGAGAAACAAGAGAGCAAGCATAGAGATGGTGGGTCCAGACTGCTTGGAGAGAGGGGACTCATTTCCCTGCCTGCTGCCATCCTTGTCATTCTCAGTGCAAACCCCATTCCTCACTTGGCTGGATACAAGGCTTTGGAAGGTTCATAAAAAGCATCATTCTTCCTCTTTTTATGACTTGATTCTATTCTCCTCTTTTATCTTAAGTGGCTTAACTACTTCTGATATGTTTTGTTTGAAAGTTTAAAAACAAAAGGGAAAAATATAAAATGTTGTACATACCACAACCAAAGCCATGTCACATATTCTGATCTATTGTTATATAAATGCAGAGTAAAAAAAGAAAACAGAAAAATGAAATAACTCAAAATGCTTCCAGCAATTTTTTCTTTGAGTGGTAGAGGTATAGGCAATTTTGGTTTTCTCATACTTTTCTACAAACAATTTTAGAAAAAAGTAAACTATTTTTACAGTAGATGGGGAAAGCTGGATTCCAATGATGTACCAGGCAGAGGCAACCTCCTCTTAGAGAGATAACACACTAATCCAATTGCAGCCTTTTACATACTAATTAAGTGACACTGCCTAAGTTACTCACCTTTACTAAGCTCTGATTTTATTGTTTGTAGATACTGTAATTCCTACTCCTTATCATTGTTAAAGAGGTCAAATGAGAAGGGGCAGGACAGTCTCTAGGGGCACTGGGAGAGAGGTAGTGCTTGTGTAAAGTTCTTTTCTCTCCTGTTCCAATGTTTCCGCTGTCTTTGGTGTACCCTGTGCTGCTGACCTACCTCACTGAGAAAACTGTATTGGGAACTAGTCATGAAGTTTCAACTATTTCTTCTAAAGAGTTTATCATCTACTAAGAAAGACTCTGTCCTGTTGGTGCAAAGTGCTTGCTGGAGAAAAGAAAGTCATATTAACTGATATGATCACAAAGAGTTGTCTGTGACAAGAGCATACAGCCACACAATCCTAAATTCTAAACAGTCATTTATTATGTCCTGTTACACGCTGAGCTGTCTTTCGTCTCAAGGTGTCAGTTTCCTCACTTGCAAAGAGGACAATGATTGCACTTACAGGCCATTGTGAGGATTATATCAGTTAGTCAAGCAGTGTATGCAGAATAGCTCATGTCAGCCATACGTGGGCAGTCACGTTAGCTTAAAAAATGAACGGAGCTGCAAATACAAAATGGTCTTTGGCATTCGAGAGTATGGATATTAACATCACATCATACCCACACTGGGGTAGTCCATTGTTAAAAGGCAGAGACATATATAAGGAGGATTAAAATGTCTTTTGAGTTCAGGCTAGTGGGGTAGACAGAGAAGTAAGCAAATACCACCACCACTTGCAATTCTGGGTAGAACAGCAATATGTGAGCAGAGAAGACACAGAAAGCCTAACTAACTCCATGTGAGGATCCAGGAATATTTCACAGAAGTGAGTGACAGTTAAGGGAGGTTTTGGAAAATGAACAAGATTTGTAATTTAGGAAGAACACACTAATTGGATTAGTGTGTTCCAGGAGACAGACAGAAAAAAAGAAACAACAGTCTGGACTGAGAAGCAGGAGATGACAATATGAAGGCAGCTGGAAAGAGAATTGAATCACCCAGGGTCTCACATGCCAGGCTCAGGAGGACTTTAAACAATATGATTTGACAAATAATTCTGGAAGGCACCTTCCCCAAACCAATTCCATCAGAATCTCTGGGGATGGGCCCTAGGCATCTGCATTTTTTAAAAAGCTCCCTGGGTGGTTCTAATATGCAACCAAAGATGAAAATCACCGTTTTAAACGTGGGAGTCCACGAGGGCTATTTAGAATGGTAAAGTCTGGGTCAGGGGTGTTTATTCAAACAATCAGCTAGCAAAAGAGCCAGTGATAGGAGCTGGGAGGAGTCAAGGGTGGAGGCAGAACTCTCAGGGCCTATTGCTTGCAGAGTTCCCATGAGGCAGAATGAGAGGATATCACCTAAAGTAGCAGCAGTGAAAATGCAAAGCAAGTGATGTAGATTCAGAGCCATTTCTCCAGGTAAAGTAGACCTGCCTTGGTAGAGCCTTCTGGAGCAGACCCAAAGCAGCAAGCTAGGGAGAAAACACTGACAATCACCGCAGAGGCATGCCAGACCCTCACAGTGGCAAGCAAAGTGCTGGTGCCCTGAACTGAGTTCAGATGGCTGGAGAGGCTGCCTTGGGGGAAGCACAGCACCCGGCTTGGAGCTGTGTTTGCACCTGGGCAGCTGTGACCTGTCTGCTCAGAGCATCCCAGATGTAGGACACCTGAAGTATTTTCAGTCATATCCCTCAAAGTCAGTCTCCACTGCAACTCTGAACATCTGTTTGGGTGGAGAAGAGAATCCAGAGGCTTCTCAGCCTGGTGGTCCCAGTTTCTCTCAAAGGCAGTTGTCCTCAGACAAGAACAAGGTTTGGTTCCTTGTCACAGGGATTCTGCTAATGAGACAGAAAATCTGCCAGGTGTTTCTTGGTGACAAATAGTTGACTTCTTTCAGAGGTATTTGGGGAGCACAGACAACTGTAAGTCCTTTTTAAAAACTTTCATTTGCATACTCCTTTGAATATAGCTGCATAACACATGGGACTGCATTTGCTGGTAAACTCTAGACTGGAAAGGAGTTAGTAACTAGTTCAGAATAAAAGGTCTAAATACTCCCTAAGGGCCAAGCGCCCTGCTAGGCATCTGGGATACAGTAGAGAAGAATGTATTTATAGAGGCCACACTAAGTGTCTACTCGATTAGGTATCTATCATCTATTCAGGTTACAGGTAGCACTGGCCTGAGGAGAAGTCTGCTCAGTGCAAGTCTGTAAATCATCTGTTCTGATTGTGGCTACTGTCCTCTGCCCACATCGACATCTATGTCTCACACAGTGAGGGTTTGCTTGGTTGACTGTTGTCTTCTTTTCTTTTTGGTCTGCTTTTTCTTCAGTTTGACCTTTTCCTACATGGTCCCCACTCCCAGCCTGGGTGTAAAGTTTAGCTCTGTGGAGGAGAATTATTAAAACAATAGTTATTGATGCAGGTATTACCTGGGGAACTTTTGAAAATACAGAACCTGGGATGTACTCCAGGTTAATTAAATCAGATTTCTTGGGATTGTCCCAGGACGAGGAAGATTCAAAGGTCCCTTGGGATTCTGTTGTGCAGCCAGGGTCAGAAGCCACTCCATTGGAGGTGTCAGAAGAGAAAGAAAAGAAGCTGGAAAGTTGGGAATTGCCCTAGAGAGTTGCCCAGGTATGAGTTCCAAGGCAAGTGAAGTGGTACATCCCCAGCTAAAAATCTCCACTTTTACCCAGTGTGTATTGTCACTTCCTTCTGTTAATGAATCCAAAATAACATCCCTAGAGACTCAAATACTCTCTTGAAGGTGCTAGGAGAAGTGCTATTAATTATACACAAATTAGGGAGAATACATCCTATCAGATTGCTTTTCCACCAAACCTCCTTGAGATAAATAGCTTTGAAAGAATAGACTTGTCCAATGAGGAGAATAGGAAAGCAACACCTTTGAGGACAAGAATGTCTTGATGGGGGAAAAAAATTCTCCTAGGGGAGAAGAGCAGGTTATTTAGGGCCCATATGGGCACTTAGCACCCCCATGATTTAGGGACCAAGTCTTAAAAGATGGGATTTTGGATCTAGAAATAGATGAGGACAGACATAAAATTTCTGAACCTTAAAGAGATGTAAGGTATTATTTGCCATCTCCCAGAATGTTAAAGAATGAAAACTAATTATACTCAATCTTAACAAATATTGAAGGAAACAGTCAATTTTTTGTTTCTTTTATTGCACTTTAGGTTCTGGGGTACATGTGCAGATCATGCAGGATTGCTGCATAGGTACACATATGGCAATGTGGTTTACTGCCTCCATCCTCCCGTCACCTACATCTGGCATTTCTCCCCATGTTAACCCTCCCTGACCTCCACATCCCCCCCTGCTGTCCCTCTTGTCCCCTGCAACAGATCCCAGTATGTGATGCTCCCCTCCCTGTGTCCACGAGTTCTCATTGTTCATCACCCGCCTATGAGTGAGAACATGAACTGTTTGATTTTCCATTCTGGTGTAAATTTGATGAGAATGATGGTTTCCAGATTCATCCTTATCCCTACAAAGGACATGAACTCATCCTTTTTTATGGCTGCATAGTGTTCCATGGTGTATATGTGCCACATTTTCCTTGCCTAGTCTATCGTCGATGGGCATTTGGGTTGGTTTCAAGTCTTTGCTATTGTAAATAGTGCCACTATGAAAATACCTGTGCATGTGGCTTTATAATACAATGATTTATAATCATTTAGATATATACCCAATAATGGGATTATTGGGTCAAATGAAATTTTTATTTCTAGTTCCTTAAGGAAGCACCACATTGTCTTCCACAATGGTTGAACTAGTTACACTCCCACCAACAGTATAAAAGTGATCCTATTTCTCCACATCCTCTCCAGCATCTGTTGTCTCCAGATGATTGCTGTTCTAACTGGTGTGAGATGGTATCTCAATATGGTTTGATTTGCATTCCTCTAATGACCAGTGATGATGAGCATTTTTTCATTTGTTTGTTGGCCTCATATATATTTTCTTTGAAAAGTGTCTGTTCGTATCCTTTGCCCATTTTTGGATGGGTCTGTTTGTTTTTTTCTTGTAAATCTATTTTAGTTCTTTATAGATTCTGGTTATTAGCCCTTTGTCAGGTGGGAAGATTGCAAATTTTTTTTCCCCATTGTGTTGGTTGCCAGTTCACTCTAATGATTGTATCTTTTGCTGTACAGAAGCTCTGGAGTTTAATTAGGTGCCATTTGTCTATTTTGACTTTTGTTGCCAATGTTTTTGGTGTTTTGGTCATGAAGTCCTTGCCTATGCCAATGTTCTGAATGGTTTTGCATAGGTTTTCTTCTAGGATATTTATGATGTTAGGTCTTATGTTTAAGTCTTTAATCCATCTGGAGTTAATTTTAGTATAA